AAAGTTTTTTTAAATTAAAAAAAAAACAGCAACAACAAACCCTGATGGAGAGTCATCCATGAGGGGTTTCTAACTTGACAGCATACACTAACAACAGTCGCTAGGAAGTCACACTGCTGACCTAAAGGCCAGGCCTCACTGGCAGTTCAAATCCACCAGCTACTCTGAGGAAGAAAGATGGTCTGTTTCCTCCCATGCAGTTAACAGCCTTGGAAACCCAATGGAGGGTTGGCTGTGAGCCGATTCCAATTTGTCAGCAATGAGTTAAATTATGCTTGGTAATGTAGACAGGCGGTGAAGAAGAGGAAGCCCCTCATTGAGATGGATCGAGCAGTCGCTGCAGCAGTGGGCTCAAACATAGCAACAATCTCGAGGAGGGTGCAGGACTGGGCAATGTTTGCTTCTGTTGACTATAGGGTTGCTGTGAGTCAGAACTGATTCAATAGCACCAAACAATTATGGCTAATGTAGGGTCATGACTGTGGCCTGACAGCCTCTCTCCTCTTGCTGCTAAGGGCCGCCCCCTGGAGCATCCCACCCCTCTGGGATGTCAGCCTGGCGCACCCCCTCTGCCCACAGCGGCCCCCAGGAGGTAGGAGTTTCTGATTCTCCAGACAAAGGAGCTCGGCTCCAGCACCCAAGCCAGGGAGAGCCCTGGGTGAGTCTGTGAGGAAGCAGGTGTATTTAGAGCCTGTATCCCTATAAATCAGAGGGGTCTGTCCCTGCTGGCTGCTGGAGCAATGGGCTGACAGCTGGAAATGGCCTCCTGATTATAAATGTACTGCCCTGACAGGGCTTTTAGTGGCTCAGTCAATGGCCATCGGAGTGGCTAATGTCTGCTAATGCCAGTCCTCAGCATAAAACTCTTTTAGGCAAAAGGCAATCAGCCAGCCCCTAGAGGACCCTCCATTCCTTGTCCACTGAGAAGGAAGAAGTGCTGTCTGTGGATGGTGCTTCTGCTCCTGAAAGACCTGGAAGGAACTCTAGCCCAGGCTCAGCTCTGGAGCAGCAGCTCATCCAAGCCTTGCCTGACCCTGAAGCGTCATTCCAGTGTCTCTGGCTTCAGAGAGCTGGGAGGTGGGGGGTAGGAGGCAGGAGGTATGGGTCAGAATGTGGCTCCCCGGCCATCTGCCACTGCCCCCTGCCCCAAGAGCTCAAGGTCAGTCTGACAATCAGCTCTTCCTCAGAGCAGAAACTAGGGCATGGCCCTGGGCCAGGGTACAGAGATAAAGGCCTCAGAAGTTGAGTGGCTTATACCAAAAGCCCCATTATTGCTCATGCCCTTTGACCCAGGAAGAGATCCAAGAGAAGGGACTATCAGGAAGGTAGGCAAAGCACTGATTGAGAGATAGTATCACTCCCAGGATAGGGCAGGTTTCAGAGCTAATGTCCATAGGGTTCCTGTGAGTAACAGGTGACTTGATGGCACATAACAACAACAACAAGCACAGACAAGAGCAGTACAGGGAACTCTGGTGGCCTGGTGGCAAGATGCTGCAGTGTAATCCTGAAGGCACAGGTTGGAATCCACCAGCTCCTCCTCTGGAGAAGTATGGGCAGTCTCCTCTCATGTGATTAACTCTGTCTGAAAACTCATGGGACAGTCAGGTATGGGTTGATTCCAACTCGATGGTACACAACAACACAAACAATCCCAGTACACTCCCAACTTGGGAGGCCAGAAACCTGAGCTCAGGTCCACCTCTGCCCCTCTTATTCCCAGCAGCCCTGGGGGAATCCTTTCTCTAGTGTGGGATTCCCCAAGTGAGAGCTCAGTGAGAGTGCTGGAATCCATTAGTAATACCTGCCACAGGTGCAGGAAAGCGAGCACAGATGTGCACTCTGGTCTCTAAGAGCACTTGAAGTTCTGCAGTTTTATTACACATTTTTGGTCAATCCTAGAAAACCCCATCTTTTCAAAAAGTCTGAAGTTTTAACTACCATATTGCATAATACATACATTTTTATATACAGTTTCAGAATTCTCTTACTGGAGTCTGGAATCTACTCACAGCTAGCAGTATCTTTTCAGAGAGTGGGAAGAGATTGCTTACCTTTCTCCCTCAAGGCAACTAGTGGATTTGAACCACCCAGTGTAAGGGTTGGCAGAGCAACTCCTTACCACTAGAGGGAGCCACCAGTGCTTCCTACAGAAAGGTGGTTATTACATATCATTGAGTCAGAACCCACTCATAGGTGACCCTCCCTCCAGTGGGGGAGGAGACTGCCCAGCTTTCTTCCATGGAACAGGTGATGGATTTGAACCACTTGACTTTGGGTTTGCAGCATAACCCCTTACTAAACCATCGAAGCTCCCTTTAGCAAGCTTAGGAAGTGTAATTTTAAAAACCTAAAACCTATGAAAGATAAAAGTTTCCCATTTATTTACTTTGGATAAACTGTGGTTATAACATTTTGGTACATTTCATTCTTTTTTATTTTCTCAGTATTAATATGCAGATTTAAAGTTGTTGTCAGGTGCCATCAAGCTGAGTATGACTCCTAGGGACTCTGAACAACAGCTCTGAACCCTGCCCTACCCTATGGCAGCCTCCTCATCTCTGACACACTTGAATCCATGTCTGCAGTCACTGTGTCGGTCCTTCTCACCGGGGATCTGCCTCTCTTTTGCTGACCCTCCACCTGTCCTCTCATGATGTCCCTTTCCAAGGAATATCATCTTCTAGCAACTTGTCCAAAGTATGAGAGAGAAAGCTTCACCAAGGAGCGCTCCAGCTGCACTTTTCCCAAGAAATTTCTAGTTCCTTTGGCATCCATGGAATATTCAGTACTCCTTAACACCGCAACTCAAAGGCATCAGTTATCCTTATGCATTGTCCAGTGCTCAGAAGCATAACAAGTGCTGGCTTGACCATGTGGATTGACACAGTGACTGCTGCAGTGAGTTCCAGTGTGTGAAGAAGTGTGAAGATAACACAAGATAGGACAGGGTTAAGATCTGTTGTTCATAGAGTTGATGGCACCTAATAACAACAGTGTTCCCTTAGGGAGCTCTGGTGGCCTAGTGGTAAGAAACTGCACTGCAGTACTGAAGGCACACAGTTCAAATTCACCAGCTGCTCTGCAGAAAAAGGATGGCGATCTCCTCCCGTATGATTAACTGCCTCTAAAAACCTGCAAGTGAAAACCCACCAGAGGGTCAGCTATGGATCAGTTCCAACTAGATGGTACACAACAACAACCACAATTATCTATTGTGGTTGTTGTTCTCGTCATTCTGTGGCATTGAGTCGCCTACAGTTCAGCAACCATTTCATTTATCCATTCATCTGTGGGTAAATGCATTGTTCCCACTTCTCAGGTATCATGAATATTGATGTAATGAACATTCAAAGGTTTTGTGTGAACATGGGTTTCATTTCTCTTTGGGAATATGCTTAAGAGTGGACTTGTTTGGTCATATGGTAACTCTAAGGGGCCCTGGAAGTTTAATGTGTTACATGTTGGGTTCCTAACCAAAAGGTCAGTGGTTTGAATCCACTAGGTGCTCTGTGAGGAAAAGATGGACAGTCTCCTCCCATGTGATGTGCAAATCCACAAGCAGGTCAGCTCTGAGCTGGCTCAGACTTGACGGCAACGAGTTTCCATTTCATAAGGTCTCTGTGAATCAACTTGACACCGAAGGGTTTGGTTTTTAAAAAGCCCAAAAGGTGGTGAAAGAGAGGAAGACCCTCAGCCAGGTGACTTGACAGTCACTGCAGCAGTGGGCTTGAGTGTGTCAGAGATGGTGAGGTTGGCACGGGATAGGACAGGGTTCAGGTCAGCTGTTCGTAGGGTCACTACGAGTCTTACTCGATAGCACCAAACAACCACCACAAAGTGATGCATTAGTTAAGCAAATGGCTACCAACAGAAAGGTCAGTAGTTCAAAGCCATCAACCACTCTTAGGGATAAAATGAAGCATTCTGGGAATAAAGATGAGGTCACCTGTTTCAGTAAAGATTTACAAACTTGGAAACCTTCTGGGAAGTTCTACTCTGCATATGGGGGCAATACGAGTTGTCATTGACACAACGTCATGGGTTTTTTTACTCTGTAGCAGACTCTGTGCTAGAGCCTTTCCAGATCCCCTGTCCTGTGATCCTCACAGCACTCCTGTGGCAATTGCCTCCAAGTTACTGAGGATGACATTGAGGTGTAGAGGCATGGAGCAATATACTCCAGGATCACACAGAACATCATGGCAGGGCCAAGAGTCACAGCGAGTTCTGTCCCTTACATTTTCCTGTTAATTTTATGATTACTCCCCTTCCTTCTCTAACCATCCTGGACACTGTTTTGCAGACAGGAAAATTGGACCCTCACTACCCCAAGGTCTGTGGACATAGAGGAAACGTCTTAGACATCAAGTGGAATCCTTTCAATGACTTCCAGATTGCCTCCTGTTCTGAAGATGCCACGGTGAGTGCCAGCATCGAGCAACTCAGGAATTCGGTCTTGTAACTGAAGAGTGAGATGGGGTGGTTGGGGGCTGGGGCACCTGTGCTCAGCTTGGTTGCTCCCCGACTCCTTCATGGCTGAGGTGAGGTGAGGTGAGGTGAGCTCACCGTGGGAGTGTTTAATAAGTAGGTTGAGGAGGAAGAGTTACGGATTCTGGATCCTGTAAGACTTGGGGAAACCTCTTCTCTAGGGACCGCAGTTTCTCCACCTAGAAAAAGGGCCCACCTATCTCATGAGTTACTCTCCTAAGTCATTCCCACATATCTCTTGAAAGAGCTGTGGTGGTGGCTGAGCGATAAGGAATTGTGCTGCCAACCCAAAGGCAGACAGTTCAAAGGGAGGAAGATGGCCAGTCTTGTCCTGTGCGATTAACTACCTCAGGAAACCTGCTGGAGGGTCTGCTATGAGGTGGTTCTGACTGCATGGCATGTAACAACAAACAGTATCTCATGAAGACCCAGTGAGACTCATATTCCAGTGGGAAACTCCACTATTTGGGCAAACTACAAAGTGTTGTGAGGGATATTTTTATTGTAGCCAGAAAAATAACAGACCACTTAACCTTACAATGAGAAAGATGGGGGTGGAGCTTTTTATTAATAAAGGCACCAAAGCACCCCCAAAGCTTCAGTTCCACCTATAATTTTGAGCTTCTGCTCTCCACCAATGATGCTGTCCCTGTCTCCACAGTACTTGGGTGTTATTTATTTACCATTTCTTTTGTGTCTACTTGTAAAGCACAGGGGACGTGGCTTAAAACAAAAGACACATGAGTGATCAGTGATTAAAATAAGAACAAAAGAAAAGTCATAGTTACCATTTATGGTGAGCCTGGTGGCTTCCTGACCTATCATATATACCACATATCCCTCAACCCCACAAGATAGGTTCATTTCCTGCCGGAGAAGCCAGGGATCAGAGAAGTGCAGTGATTTGCCCCTGACTACACAGCTGTGAGCAAAACGTGGCACGAGATTGAGATTCCTCTGAATCCAGGACTCAATCTCTTTCCAGTGAGCTATATACACTTCTAAGAGCAAGAGCCACAGATGGAGGGAGATCAGGAAATAACATCAGAAACACAGGCTATGGAAGGTTGCAGCTGCTGAACTCCGGGTTTAGCTCTGAGCTGCCTGGTAACCAAGGCAAAAAGGGAAATACGTTGACTGTATTGCAGACCCTTCACTTTGTGATCAAAAGAAGTAGAGCAGGTCATCAGGAGAAGCAGGCACAAGATTCTAGGAAGGTTCGTGTCAATTTCTATCTGGGACATGCTGAGGAACACAAAGGATAATGCTTGCCAAGATAGTTTCACCAAATGTGCAGTCAGACCCCGTGAAAATTGGCCTTGTCTTCTGTTAGTTTGCAGCTTCTAACAGGGTATCAGACCCCTGACACTCTCCCCATTGCTGGCATAGTGCTTTCAAGCTTGCTTTGAAGGCTCCCTTAAAGCTCTGTTAAAGCCATGTCTGGCTCTGTAGTTCTCAGCCATCCAATCCCAGCCACCTCTGGGGCACCGTGAGTGGATATGTTGTTGGGAATAGCAATGTCCTCTGTTCCCAGCAGTACCCCAGAGTACATCCAGGCCCTTGTTCCTTCTTATCCCCTGGGACTCGTCATGGAGGAACGGCTCTACAGCTTAGCAGTGCTCAGCTGTCTCCTCCTCGTCCCCTGGGATGTGTCGGGGAGGAGTGGCAGTCCGGCTCCAGGGAGTGGATAGTCTTTGCTCCCACAATGTTGGGGATGGTTTCTACACCTCCCAGATGCACTCCAGCCCAGGCCCGGTTCTGTGCAGTCACTGTCCTCCTGATACTGGTGTATCTTGAGCCAGCTACTGTTGTTGTGGGACTAGCTTCCTGACTCTAAATACAAGGCAACCAGGTAATAAATATTAGCCAAATTGAATTAAAAAAAACACCTACTTTAAAAACTTGTATATTTCTAAAAAGGGGTGCGTATAATTATGTTGAGGTCAAAGAACCCTGTCAGACAGTGAGGAAGGTCAAGCCAGCACCATCCTGGGCCCCATTTTCTTCTGCAGCATCCTCTGCAGTGCCTCCACTTGTATGCCTCTGTGACGGGGAGCTCACTCTCCTCCAGGACAGTCCATCTTTCCCCAGACAGCACTGATTACTAGATGTTCCAACTTTGAGCTGAGCTGAGGTCCACCGGCCCAGCCTTCCTGAGACCAGTCTGGACGGCCGTTCTCTTGGGCCCTCACCACTGACTCCATACAGCTGAGTCCTCTGCCCTTAAGCTTTTCTTCTTCCAGGGAGTTCAGTCCAACAACTCATTCAAAGAGTAGAGCTTTTTGCTGTACAGTCTCAATCCTGAGCCTGAAGTGGCTCCCTCGTGCCCTGAGGATACAGCACAAAAATTCCCCTCTGTGCCTTTACACAAGGAGTGGGCTGCCATTGTCCTTTGGGGCCTATCCTGGACTGAGAGGCAGATTTGTTCAAACATACAGCTTGGGAGACAGACTCATAGCCCAGCACTTAGATCCTTAGGGTGACAGAGATTACCAGGCTGCGCATTTAGAAATTTTGGCAAATCTTGGTGTAATGCCTGTCTCTTCTCAGTCTGGAGGACATTAGTGGATCCCCTGGCCCTTCTGCTGGACGCTGTCAGTTCTGTGCTTCGGATGGCAGTAGTCTAAGGTGGCCCCCTAACCCTCCCCCTGGGCTGTATCTCATTGCCAGATTAAGATATGGGACATCCCAAAGCCACTGCTGTCCAGGAACCTCACAACCTTCAAGAAGGAGCTGGTGGCCCACTCCCGCAGAGTGGGCCTGGTGGAGTGGCACCCCACAGCCTCCAACATCCTCTTCAGCTCTGGCTACGACTACAAGGTGAGTCTGCCTGGAGCGGGTGTGCTGCTGGGCTCTGCCCAGAGATGTCCCCCTGTTCCCAAGCCCTTGGATAATCTCCCAACTCAATCTCCAGTGTGCTGTATGGCCTGGGCAAGTCCCTTGTCTTCCCTGAGCCTCAATTTCCCTTCGCATTGCACATCTCTTGGGGTTACAGAGACACAGCAAGGACTTCTGATTGAAAGAAAAATGGGGACTGAGAGTCCAAGGGGCTCTGCTCTTCCACCTTCTGACCAGAAGTGCTCTTTCCGACTGGTTTATACAGGATGTATCTGCAGTTCCTGCATTTGGTTGTGCAGGTGATTTCTGTCCACAGCTCCCAGGGCATTATTCACATGCCAGGTTGTGGGAGTGGAGTGCCCTGGAGCTGTGCAGTGTAGCCCTGTTCATCAGTACGTGGTCGAAGCTGCTGCTAATAACAGTTTGAACCCCCTAGATTAGCTGCCCCCCTGGGATTCGCCCAGCATGGATGTTTTGCTATTCAAAGGCAGATGGTGTTTTCCTTCCACTACCAGACAGCCTGACTCCCAGCTTCCCCTTGCTGCCTACCACGTGGCAGCTTCAGCTGCAGAGCCACCCCACCCGAGGCTTCCTGGCCAGGCTGCCATCTGCAGCCTCCCTCCCGGGGATACTGTGTTTCACCGCAGCCCAGCAGGCGTGTGGCGGTGGGGCCCGGGGTGGGGGTGACCACTCCACCCAGCCTGCTCTCTGCTGAGCAGGTGATGGTCTGGAACCTGGACACAAGGGAGTCTACAATCCTGAGCCCCGTGAGGACAATTGACTGTCACAAGGACGTGATCCTCTCCATGTCCTTCAACACCAATGGCAGCCTACTGGCCACCACCTGTAAAGACCGCAAGATCCGGATCCTCGACCCCCGAACGGGGGCAGTTTTCAAGGTCAGTGCTGGGCCAGCGTCCAGTGTGAGGTCAGAGGTTAGGGGTCAGAGGAACAAGGGGCGGAGTATAGGTGGAGAGGGTTCTGAGGGCCACCTTCACATCCATTATCTTCTTCCACACTCTCAGCTTCCCAGAGCGGTTGGATAATAATCCCATTTTCCAGATGAGAAAACCAAGGCCCAAAAGAAATGATGTGGTTTGATCATATTGAAAACTGGTACTTGAGCGTGGTCTGACTCGAGCACTTGTGGTTTAACTCAGCTGTGTCCCTGGCCATGGGATCAGGAGCGCTGAGGACCCCCACTGTTCCCCACCCTGTGACGCTAGGCCAGCACTTCCTGCTCTTCAGCAGTGACTGGAGGACACACAGTAGACAGGAGCTGCTCAGCTCTCTTCCAGAGGGAGCAAGGAGCTGGACAGTAGCTTACCTCTCCTGCAATTCAGGATAAAGACCTCTCAACGCAAATGGAGTTGAGAGACTGTGTGTGCACGGAGGGCTTCCTGGAGGTGGTGCCAGTGAAGGCTTCTCCAGACAGAGGTGGGAGAGGAAGGCAGGCATTCCCAGGAGAATAGCAGTGTATCAGGGAGTCCAGGGTCCCAGCTGCTACCAGGAGTCCCCTCCTACAATCTCTCCCACCAACCACACATGTCTTTCCAGGAAGCCACCTACAAGAACCACCGGGCTAACAAGGTGCTGTTTCTGGGGAACATGAAGAAGCTGCTGTCCACGGGTACGTCCCGGTGGAACAACCGGCAGATGGCCCTGTGGGACCAGGTGAGTCTCACACCTGGTACCGACACCCCCTCAGCTGAGTGCTCAATGCCTTCATTTGTTCCTTCATTTCTCTTACTTAACGTCTCCTGCCAGGTGCTGGGATCCAGGCCTAAGTAACAGGGAGCCACTGACAGCCCACCAGAGAACCCAGATCTGTGTGCATCTTGTCTTTCCAGACTGGCCAGGAGTCTTGAGAGGCTCTTGTGTAGGCGAGGCCAAGGGGCTGAATGTGACACTGGAGGAAATGGGGAAGGAGAGGCATTCTGGGCAGAGGGACCAGTTAGAGCAAAGACTAAGAATGAAATACTGAGGATGTGGGCGGAAGAGCTTGTCTTTTAGTGTGATTGAGAGAGAGATGGATCTCGGGGTGGGGTGAAGGCCAGGCTAAGCAGTATTGATTGTTGCTGGAGTTTCAGAGATGAGGTAAATCCCTTCTCCCTTCTGAGTCTCCTTCTTCATCTTCTAACATAAACAAAGAAGTAAAATGAGTCGAGGAAATAGGAAGGGGGAGGTTAAACCAACCGAACCACCATCAAGTCAGCTCTGACCTTTCACTGGGTTTCCGAGAGCTCTGGGAATGGAGTGCCCTGGAACAAAAGGATTTACAGCCATCTTTTCCCCATGGAGCAGCTAATGAATTCAGTCTACCTACCTTCTAGTCTGTAGTGAGTGACCCTACGAACCAAAGGCTGTTTCCCTCTGGTGGTTTGGATCCACTGGAAGCCCCGAAAGAGGAAGATAGGCAGTCTGCATCTGTGTGATTTACGGCCTCTCGGAAACCTGAAGGCAGGTCAGAATAACTAGCGATAAGCTGGTTCCAACTCCACAGCACCGAGTGAATGAGCGAATGACCTTTTAGTTAGCAGCCTGTGCATCACACGCTCTTAACACGTCGAGCTCTTGCTCCTTCGAGGGAGCTTCTCATAAAGCTCACTGCTGTTGAGTTGGGACCAACTCATAGCTGACCTTTCAGCGGGTTCTGGAAGCTGTAAATCCCCCAAGAGGAAACTGCCCATCTTTCTCCTACAGTGCTACACATGGGTTCACGTTACATTAGTACAGCAACGTCTTATGGACTACGTTAGTACAGCAACGTCTTATGCCACCAGAATTCACAGAGGGAGTCTATTTACTAAGTTGTTGGTAATGGCAAAATAGAAGATGATGAAGAAGAATTTCATTGTCTTTAAAAAGATATTCATCAGACAGCAACCCATAGATTGTACCTCAGGAGCCTGGGACATCCTCTCCTGCCTCACCTGTACACAGTCCACTCTCTCATACATATAAACACACACACACTCGGGCTTATATACACGCTCACACTTAGCCTTTCTCTCCTACACACACACACACACACACACACACACACACACACATCTTTTTCTTATATACTCGTTATTGTTTGTTGTTAAGTGCCATTGAGTTGAGTACAACTCATATGACCCTATGAATAACCGATCTGAACACTGTCCTGTCCTGTGCCATCCTCACAATCTCAGACACACTCATTCAACCTTTTTCCTTTTTTTTTTTCTTTCCTTGTTTGCCATCGAATCGGATTAGAATGGCACAGGAGAATATTGCCCCGCCTTCTCCAGCGGAGCATCTGGTGGAATCGAACTGCACGCCTTAGGGATTGCAATGCAGCTTCTTGCCACAAAGCCACCAGAACACCATCGATCTTTCTTAACACCTACACACACATGCACGAATCCAGTGTCTCTCACACATACACAAACTGTCTCTCAGATACACACAAACTCAAGCTCTCTCTCATATACGCTTACACACAAACTCAGTCTTCCACACACAAATGCCTCTCTCTCTCTCTCACACACACACACACACACACACACACACACACACACACACACACACACACACACCCTCTCACCTAAACAGCAAGAATCCTTGTCTTATAGAGCACACATTCCCCACCCAGGTTGAAGGTCCCGTAAGTGACCCCAGGCTGCCTGGTCTCCTATTTCCTCACAGGACAACCTTTCCGTGCCTCTCACCGAGGAAGACCTGGATGGCTCCTCAGGAGTGCTATTTCCCTTCTATGACGTGGACACCAGCATGCTCTATGTGGTGGGGAAGGTCAGCCTTGTGTGGTGGGAGGTGACCCTGTGCCTACGGCAGAAGGCCGTGCCACCAGCTGGGTTTCTGTGGTGCCAGAGAGCACCTTGGGACCCTTAGAGTAAGGCAAGGGCAACCCACGCCCTCTGGGGTGACTGTCATGGGGCATGGAGTTCACATAGGATACCGGAGGCATGCGGATGATTGGCAGAAAGCCCGCTGGGGAAACAGTTCTTTTATCCTACTCACATAAGTCTTCATTGAAAGGAGCTTCTGTTCCAACAGACTCTTTTAAATAATTGAAATGTGGGTTCATAATGTGCTTCATTCCGGGTTGTGATGACCCTGAAGTTGAACCAGAAGGTGAAGCTGTGGCTGGGACCTTCGCTGCCCTACAGTTAACACCTGTTCCACTTTCATGCCCTTCGAGTGGATAAATCCCTGCCTGTGCTAATGCCAACCCTTGCTGGTCACTCTTCCCGTGTGGTGAACCCAGCATCCCTCCAACCGTACAATACTCCTTCAGCCCAAGTGAGGAGGGACAGTCAGTATTTCTCAGCAGAGCACCCTGAATTTGGGGCACACTGGTCATCATCAGATGGGACTGTCTCATATTTGGTACCCCTGGCCACTGCCCACCAGGAGCAGCCCCTCCCCTGCTTTGAAACACCACCAAGCGATAAGACCTGAGACTTGTGTCTGAGACCGGCCTGGTCTTTAAAAGTGGCTCCTAGATAGAAGTGAAGTTGGGTTTGTCTTTCCAAACTTTCTGCCTTGGGTAGGCTTTAGGTGACTGATGGGGAGCAGAATGTTAAAATGAGGACCCCTCCCCACCTAGGGTTGGGGTCCTGAGCTTCCTCATGTTTTCCTTGTGAGGTGGGTTTGCCACCCAGCCACTATTCACCATGAGAGCCAGGTTTCTGCTGCATGACACTGGGGGCCGGGTGAGAAGCCGGTGGAACCAGTTCTAAATCTTACCTTCCTCCTCAGGGAGATGGGAACATCCGCTACTATGAAGTGAGCGCAGAAAAGCCTCACTTGAACTACCTGACGGAATTCCGCTCCTATTTCCCACAGAAGGGAATCGGTGAGTGCGGGATCCCAAGGCCACCTGGGATCAGGGCTTGAGTGCCAGACTGGGAAAGACAAGAATGAGTCAAGCTTATGCTCCCTGGAAGGAGATAGCCCCTCAACACTCTGACTACAGTTGTGGGTGGGCCTATGATTGAAGTGTGCAAGAAACTTAACTTTGTCTTAAAGCACAAAGGAGAAAGTCAGGAAGGCTTCCTGGAGGAGACAGCCTTTGAGGCTTTGAAAGAGGAAACGGAGTACAGCATTAAGAAGAATGAAGGGGCTCCAGGCCCAAGGAAGAGCTGTCCCAGCCACAGCAGGGCGATGTGAAGGGCTGACCAGAGGGTTTTCAGGGAGCAGCCCCCTTGCTTAACTGTGTGTTAAGTGCTTTTGGCTCAGAGGAGCTGAGGGGCTGGAGATGGAGTCGCTCCACGGAGCAGAAGGAGCCTGAGTGACACAAAGTGCTCAGTTGCCAACCCACAAGGTTCACGGTTTCAACTCACTCTGTGGCTCCTCAGGAAAAAGACTTTGCGATGTGCTGATGTGACTCACTGCCATCGAGTCGAATCTGACTCAGCGATGCTGTAGATCAGAGTCAAACTCCCCAGTGGGCTTCCAAGGCTATAAATCTATTTTTATTCTTTATTTTTACTGGATTGAAAGTTTACAAATCATACTGGTTTTTTCAATAATTCATAGATACTTTGTTTTATCACATTGACTGATTACTGTGGAGCTCTGGTGGCCTAGTGGTAAGAAGCTGCACTGCAATCTCAAAGGCATGCGTTTCAAATCCACCAGCTGCTCCACGGGAGAAGGATGAGCAGTCTCTTCCCGTCCAGTTAACTAATTCTGAAAACCCACTGGAGGGTCAGCTGTGGGCCAGTTCTGTCTCCATGGCTCGTAACAACAACGATGTAATTAATAGAGAACTCTGGTGGCTTAGTGGATAAGGAGTTGCACTGCCAACCCAAAGGCAGGCAGTTCAAATCCACCAGCTGCTCTGTAGCAGAATATAGGCTGTTACTTCTTGTGCAATTTACAGCCTCTGGAGGGTCAGCTATGAGTTGTTTCTTACTGGAGGGTACACAACAACAGTGTGGTTAATTAATTACTCTGCTTAATCAGTCCCTCTGAGGGAGGAAGATGGACAATCTCCTGTGCGATTTATAGCCTCAGAAACCCAGCTCAGCGGTGATTTTGTTCCACCTGGACGGCAATGAGGTTTTAGTGAGAATCAAGCCCTTGTAGGATATTGCAAGGCTATAAATCTTTACAGACGCAGACTGCCACATCTCTCTGTCTCATGAAGCAGCTAGTGGATTTGAAGGGCAAATTCTATGAAGCAGTTCTACTCATTTGGGGTTATTGTGAGTAGGGGTCACCTCCGCAGCATCCAGCGACCCACGGAGCAAAACGACTCTGGAAGTCCAGCTGTTGTTACGTGCCGTCGAGTCGGCACCAAATCACAGTGACCGCTGTTTACGGCGGAACAGAGCCCTGGCCAGTCCTTCGCCCTCTGCTGTGCTTAAAGCCCATTGTTCCATCTCACTAAATCGTCCTCTTTTTTGCTGTCCCTCCACTTTTCCCAGCATGATGTCTTTCCCCCGGGACTGTCCCATCCTGATAACAGGACCAAAGTACGTTAAATCCTTGAAGATGAGGACAGAGCCTATTTCCCTGGCACAGGGCCCAGCCTGCTTGGGTATTTGTTCACTGTTGAGAGAAGAAAGGTGGGCAGAGGGTGGTGTCTGACTGGTGGTCAGGTGTGCAGCCTGGTTCTGCCACTCACACTTGTGGCCTCCAGTCCAGCCTGTAACCTCTTGTCCCCCGTGGCCATCTGCGCCCAGGTGTCATGCCAAAGAGAGGTCTCGACGTGTCCTCCTGTGAGATCTTCCGCTTCTACAAGCTTATTACAACCAAAAGCCTCATTGAGCCTGTGTCCATGATTGTGCCCCGGAGGGTAAGAGTGGTGGGGCCGTCTGGGAGGGAGGCAGGGCCAGGGGTGCTGGGAGTCGGCCACAGGAAGGCTGATGGCCACTCCCCAAAGGGAAGGCCTTTCTCATGCTGGCACCAGAAGCCAGGAGTCCCAGGTCCCTACTGCCTCTGTATTTTAGTTGTTGTGTGATGCTGGGCAATCCCTTTGCTCTTTGGGTCTCAATCGTCTCAGCCCAGAAGTGGGGGAAAGACTTGACTCCCAGCTCTCAAGGACACTCCATCCTCTTCTCTCACTGTCTTGATTTCTCTTGCAGTCGGAATCCTACCAAGAGGACATCTACCCCCCAACAGCTGGGGCCCAGCCTTCTCTGACCGCCCTGGAATGGCTGAATGGGGTCAACAGAGGTGAGGAAGGCAGGGAGAGACCTTGAGGGAATGTGGTGAGGGCAGTGGAGTACCCGGGGGCCAGCACCTTGGAGAGTTTTGGGCTGTATTTTATTCTTTCATGACCCCCAAAGATAGTCAAATAGTCAATTCCTGGTGGCTGAGATGACCTAGGGGTCAGGGCACCTCTGGAGAGATACGTCCTTAGTGACTCAGGGGACATTGCCAAATGGAAATATCTTTAAATTCTGGACTGTGCAGTGTGACTGGATTGTTTCAGCCAAACTCCCCATGCCCAGTCCCCAGCCTGATTCTTGACCTGAGACACCCACCAGGGAGAATCCTTGCCCAGGCCCTTTGTCCACTCTGCCTGCCCAGACCTGCTTCTCCCTCCTTGGCCACCAGAGGGCCAGCCCAGTGGGAGGACAGTCCTCTCACTCATCCCCATCTCAACTCCCACAGCCGCCTGGATGACTTCATACCTTCTCTCCTCCCCTTCCTAATCTGACTTCCTTCATCTCTGAAAGGACTCCCCATTGTTTTTTTCCAGTTATGGAATTTATTAGGGACATTAACAGGTTACAATTCAAGTTAGTAACAAGATGCAATTTCTCAGCCAAGACAGCTTCTGAAGTGTTCTCACAGGCCCTTCAGACTTCAGCCTCATGGCTTTAGGTTACAAAGCTCTTTCAGTCCTTTCAATTACAGGATCTCCTCCAAAGTTCCCCAGCAAGCTTATATAGGTCCCTGGTTCTGGTTTAGTAGAGTAGGGGTCCAGATTCAGATTCTTCTCACATCTTGTCTTTGGTTCTTTACTCTGGCTGTTGCTGCTTCCTTTCCCATTTTGTAGAGTTTTAAACAAATCTCACTCCCCTCTGGACCTCCCAAGTCCTCATCTGAGAGAGTAGAGCCTTCCTCTCCTGCTTCCCAGGGCCTTGCGAGAATCAGGAGCTAGATTTAAGGAACTAGAAGCATTTTGTGGCAGCCATCATCATACTTACGCTATCTGGATGGTAGCATTGTGGGTATTTGTGCCCTGATTGCCACGTTCTATTTGGGGGCCTGTCTGACTGTGGTCGTATCTCTGACACAGGTCTCGTGTACCTGAGTGGCTGTGTCTGTGTCTCTGTATAACTCTGTGAGTCCCCCTCACCCTTTAGAGCAGGTCTGCTATGGCCACTCAGTCCTCACAGTGCCCTTGCTTCCCTCCTAGGGCCACTCCTGGTGTCCCTCAGGCCTGGCGCGGAGCCGCTGAGCCCACAGCCACAGCCTCTGGAGAGGCAGCCCTCCAACTCTGTGGCCCCGGCATCCCCCTGGTCAGCAGAGCCAGCGGGAAAGCCGGCTCTGGAGAGTGGCAGGAGGCCTTCCTCTCTGCTGGAGGAGAAGGTGCCGCGGTGGCCACCCGAACACAGCAAGATAGAGGAGAAGAAGAAAGCCTGGCTCACAAATGGCTTTGACATTTTCGAGTGTCCCCCACCAAAGACAGAGAATGAGGTACAAGGGGCGAGGGGCGGGTGATCCGCTGAGGTCGTACGGCCTGCACAGTCCTGTGCTGACACACGTGGGTCACCATGAGTCAGGCTCCACCCAGCCGTTCCTGGTGACAGTGAACAGAGTGAGACCTGATAGGTATTGCAGTCTTTTCTGGTTCTGATATTCTAGGATTTGCTCCACGGCAGTTTAATAAACACTAGAAAAGGGTAAGACTGCACCCTGTCAAGAGTGAAAAACTTGAAAGACCTGAGCTAAAAAAAAGGCAGTCTGCTGAGTCCCTGCTCTCATGGGTTTCTCTCCAGGAGCTAGAAACATAGGAGCTGGCATCTCACAGAAATCTTCCAGCCCTGGCTTTGCTGAGGACTCGCTATAGGTCTTCATACCCTGGGGTCAATGTCTGAGCATAGGAAATGGTCCCTGAGAAAGGAGCACAGTGTGAGGGTGGCTGAGTCTGACTTTTACTCACTTCATAAAGGCAAACTGTTCCATCAATTTTGTCCACAGCACTATACAAATAGCTACAAAGTCAAGTATGCCAGCCCACACATGCTCCTGAACCTTTTTCTACCAATCACTGAGTCTGATGTATGTTTCAAGACTCTCAGACTTTACTCACAGTTGTGGGCTTTATTAGGTAGATAAGTTGGAGAGTGAGGTAGGCAAAAAATTTATCATCATGCAAGTCCAGGTTTAGTTCAGCAGTCCCAAGTCAGATTAATAAGGCATGGTTCCTCAAGTAGTGAAATTCCAGGTTCAGTTCAAACAGCACAAATGCAAGAAGCCTCCAGTTTCCTTAGTCATCCAGCAAGCAAAAACTGTAACTGTGGCCTTTATCTCCAGAGTTCCTCTGTTTACACTTTACCACAGTCTCTTCACAGCAATGCCACAGGCTCTTTGCAGTCTTTCCACCACGATCTCTGCCATTGTTCACGGTGTGGAAAGAACTCTCTTCTATTGATCTCACAGCTGTTGATGTTTTGCAAGACCATTTGTCTGCAGTTAAGGTAGCTGAAGACCATGCTCCATCCCAATGAGGGCTGACACAATGTCTAAAATAACCAATTTTCAAGGGTTCTGACACTTCAGTCTCCCAGTGAATGGAGTCTAAGCACTGTCACCCTCCAAGAGGAATATGCACATCCAGGAGGAAGATGACAGTCCTTACCAGAACACACAATACCAGATTCCCATTCTGTCCCATGATAACAATTACAAGGATGAAAAGATTTTTCTCACCCCCCATTCTAGAGGAGGAATTGGAAACTCAGAGAAGATAAGTAACTCGCTCAAGGTCACACAGCTTAGTGGTGGCAGAAACTCCAGACTTCAGAATCAAGTTTCCTTTCTTCTGTCTTATAAAGGTTCAAAGAGGCAAAATTGGAAACATTGAAGTCTTTATGGCTTTCATTTATTGGGCAAATAAAAGCAGAAGTTATATTATAAACAAACAAACTGCTCTTGAGTCAATTCTGATTCATAGTGACCCTCCCTCAGGTCTTCAGGGCTGTAAATCTTTATGGGAGGAGGCTGCCCATCTTTCTCCTATAGAGCAGCCGGTGCATTCGAACTGACAACTTTTCAGTTAGCAGCACAACACCCAAAACACTATGCTACCAGGGCCCTTTATATTATCTCACTGTTATATGCTGACCGACTAGTTGTCACTGACTCCTAGCTGACCCTCCAGTGAGTTTTCAGAGACCATAAATTGCAGGGGAGAAAATTGCCCATCTTCCTCTCGCCAAGCAATCAGTGGATCCAAACCCTCTGCCTTTGAGTTGGCAGCACAGTTCCTTACCACTAAGCCACCAGTGCTCCCTTAATACTAGAAAAGATCTGTGCGGTGACTTGGCAGCACCTTTGGGCTTTGGGTACATTGATTTGATCATCTCCATCTTTCAGTGTCAAAAGAGGTCAAAGGGGTCCTTTAGCCTTTCGGCTGATGTTCTGCACTCTTGGTCTTCGTGACCCTAGATGACCTGGTCCTCTGCCTCTCCCTTTCCCAGCTGCTGCAGATGTTCTACCGGCAACAGGAGGAGATCCGAAGGCTCCGGGAGCTGCTGACGCAGCGTGAAGTGCAGGCCAAACAGTTGGAACTGGAGATCAAAAACTTGCAGATGGGCTCAGGGAGGTTCTGAACAGGGACCTCTGCCCTCCTCGCCCTCAGGGACTCCACTTGGCTCAGTGGGGAGGTCTCGAACCAAGCTGCAAGTCCCCCGACAACAACCACTATTTCTATATTTTTTACCAGAAAACTCTTGTCGATGAGAGAGATTCCAGTGGGACCTGGTGTCGTTCTTTTCTATAAGGTCTTCTTGCAAGAAGTTTCCAAATGGACTGGTTTTAGTTGATACTTTGTCCTCTGTTTTCAAGGGTCCTTGATGAGCTGCAGCTTCTGAAAGACAAAGAACATTGGAGGACATTAGGACCTGGAAAGTGAACCCACTCGTGCTTTTCATAGCGTGAAGGGAGAGGTCGAGCTGGAGGGCTGTGCTCCCCTCTTGGGCGCTAGCCAGACACCCTCCTTCTCTTAGTTCTATTCACCAGGCTTCTATGGGAGACATAATACTGCTACCAAAAATAAGTTTGAAAATAAGTAATTGGGTCCAACTCCCCCATTTTACAGGTGGGGAAACTGAGCCTCAGAGGACAAGTACCTTGACATGAGAATATTCATGTTAGGGCTGAGTGAGTCTATTGCTGGTCTGATGCCATTCCCAGCCGACTGGGAATCCTTGCTTCTGGTCTCACTCCATTGCCCCCTAACTTACTTGGTGACCTCTGGCAAGTCCTTCCTCTTCTGGTCTCAGTTACCCCATCTGATTAAGGGAGGCCTTTAAATGAGCTGCCTTGTAAAAGATACAGCACTTGAGTCTGAAAAGCTTGGCCTTGGAAGCTCCTGGGAAGAGTTATGTTTGCTGCAGGACACAGGCAAAGAGGCAGAGAGCACTTAGCTTTGAGGGAATGAGTCAAGTTTCAGCTTAATCCTAGAACCAGAGAAGGGGGTCAGAGCCATCCTCTCTTTACCCTGAGTCAGTGGGATGTGGGTAGAATATATCCTTTATATCAGAGAGGTGCCATCAGAGCTGTCATGGGCTCAGAGCCCACTTCCTCCACCACCCTGAGGCAGATTCCAGCCCAGGCCCCCAGGAGAGAAGGTATCTCCCTTTTTGGAAGTATGCAAACAGATCCCTCTGGCCCCCACTCGGGAGACCCAGACAGCTGCACCAGGCAAGCAGGCGGGACGTGATGGCCCTCAAGTCTCCTTCCAGTCTAAGACTTTTTTGACATCCCTCTAATATGAGTCTGTGTTCTGAATCTCATTCTGAGGTTCTGTATTTCCAAGTGGTAAAGAAAAAGACCCCAGAGAGGGCCTGGAAGTGACAGGAGATTCAGAGCGTCCCCCTGCCCAGCTGAAGAGAGGCCGGCAGCAAGCTTCCTCCACTGTGAAGGATGATTCCAGAAAAGATGGAGGCAGCTTCCACTCATAGCGTCCCACACAGGACAGAACAGAACACGGCCAGTCCTGTGCCGGCCTCACAATCCCTGCCATGCTTCAGCCTGGTGTCACCACTGGACTTGATTCACACGTGTCTTAGAAACTGCAGGACAATCCTGCTCTGTCCTGTGCACTTGGCTTTGAACCAACTCAACAATAGCAGCTTAGGTTTTGACTTGTTTTGTACTTAAGATTCACCTGGAGAGTGTTCAGAAAATACAGGCGCTCAGGCTCTGACCCAGAGCAGTTATACTGTCCCGAGCAGGCCCCCGGTGTCTGCATCTGTGTGTGTCCGTGAGCTCCCAGGCGCTTCTGCAGTGCAGAGGACGGAGACCCACTGGGTGAGTCTGTTCATTTTCAGTAGAGATGAGGACAGTGAGTCCCCAGAGAGTCTGAGACTCAGCTCCCCTTCCTCTAAGTCCTGGCTGAAGGCACCTAAACCGTCAAGAAGTGTTGTCCCCAGCCCTACTGGGGTCTCTCTGGGACACAGTGCAGCATGATGAGAGTTTTGGGGTCCCATTTGCCTGCTCCCTCGCCATAGCTGATTCCCCAGGTCTGTCTGCTCCCACCAGCCACCCAGCTTCTTGTTCCTTTTCTCGTCTTCCGTTCACTCAGTCGCTGGGCTTGCTCAGCCTGAGGCCCCAGCCAAGCTTGCCTTATTGTGCTCTGGAGGAACAAAAGGCCAAATTCCAGGCATGTCAGGGAAGCAGAGCTCCACTGCTGGGGTTCCCTCTCCCACCTCATGTGTGGCCAGCACTTCACAGTTTACAGAGCCCTCCCGCCTCTGCTCACTGATGCAGCCTGCCCTCAGGCACGTCAGACAGGAGTTGTTAGTTCAGAGGGAAGACATAGCCTCAAACAGGTGAAGAAACTTCATGGCCAAGGTCATTGGCTACAGTGTGGTGGAGTCTGGGAGCTTTGAAGCATGCAGCCTCTCTGCACCTTCCCTTCACAAGCCTCTTACCCCTGAGGGACCCAGACCTCATGCTTAAAAACAGTGCGAAGATATTTTTTCCTTTTTTTTTAACACTTAGAGTAAATTATTTAAATTATTTCTCAGCAAGGGAGAGGGATAGGTAATTTTTACCAACTATTTTTTTAAGCCACTTTTTTTTTAAAATTACTTCTGTGTTTATGTCCTTGAGCTGCTGAAGCGGAACGTGGCAGGGGGTGCACCCAACCCCTGGAAGTCATCTGACTCTTGACCCAGGAAGTTCCTAAAACTGGGGGTGGAATTTGAATATAAGCTTGGTGGTAATGGTGGTTCCGTATCAACTTTAGCTCTGAAATAACTGTTCTTCCTGGAACAAAGCTTGAAACTATATCAGAGAGATAAAAACAAGAAGGCTCAAATGTATGCTTTTATTATGAAACTGTGCCTGAAACCATTTAAATGATTTATCATTGTTTCTGAAATTTTACCTTTGTAATAATAATAATAGCAAAAGTTAAAATAAATGTTGTGGAATCGTGCAATGGAAACAAATAAAATCTGAATAGACCTTTTATTACACGAAGCATTCTTTTTCTTGATTTTTCCACAAATACTAATTGAACACTGGAGGGGGCAGTGCTTGGAATAGGGCATCGTGCTTGGAAAGTAGAAGGTCAGTGAGAAGGAGCAAGCCCTCAGGGTGGACTGACACAGTGAATCGGACAATGCACTCAAGCATATCCGATGATGAGGATGGCAAGGAGAGGGCAGGGATCCATGGTTCAGAGGGTCACTGTGGTTCATAATCAGCTTGATGGCACCTATCGGTGACATTGGGTCTCACACACTTGGGCTTGTTGTCAGGAGGACAAAGACATCATCCATAAAGGTGAAGGGTTAGGCAAAGACCGGAAAACCAACAAGATGAATTGACACAGTGACTGTAACAATGGAGCATATTAAAGATGGGGAAGATGGACCGGGAGACGGCTAGGTTCAGATCTGTTGTTCATAGGGTAACTATTGGTCAAAACTGACTTGAGGGCCCGAAACAACAATATTTGGACCCGGTACCACACAGGGAAATAATACACACATGATTCCTTGTTGGTGAGTGGCTGGAGTTTATCTGGTTGCCAAAAAGATCAATTGTTCAAACCCACCCATGGGCTCGAAGGGAAAGCAGTGTGGGAGTCTGCTTCCATCAAGATTGTAGTCTTGGAAACCCTACGGGACAGTTCTGCTGTATCCTGTAGACTCATTATGAGTCAGGATTGATTTTGTTCTCAAGATGAGTCCAACTCACAGTGCTCCGACAAGACAGAGTAGAACCGTCCTGCGCACAGGGCTTCCAAAGCTATGACCTTTACAGAAGCAGATTGTCACTTCTTGTTCTTTAGAATGGCTGGTGGTTTTGAACCATCAACCTCTGGGTAGCAGCCAAGCAATCAAAGCAAAGCATAGAGAAAGGGGGAGGGGCAAAGACAAGGGCCTTCTCAGTGAAAGCTGAAGCTTTAGCCTAGTTAGAACAATTGGATGCCAGCGTTTCTTTTTAATCCATTTATAGACGTATCTTCTATTTTTGTTGCTGAGAATACACACAACAGAGCTTTCCTAAGTTCTTCACGTACAATTCTCTGGCACCGATGGCATTGTTCAATCATTCTCACACTGCTTTTATGGATTGGTCCGCTTCCATTACTAACAAACTGCTTGCCTCCCTGGTGAAGACGATTTAACTGTTAACCTAAGGGCTGATAGTTCCAGCCCACCTAGAGGTCCCCAGAAGAAAGGTGCCCAGTGATCTATTTCCAAACCACCAGGCCTCGAAAACCGTGCTAAGCACAATTCCCTGATAACCCGTTTTCAGCAGTCAGATTGGACTTGAAAGCAAACCTTCTTTCTTGCAAGTATGTTGTTGTGTGCTGTCGAGTAAAAACCCTCTCATTCATCACTGACCCTACAGTTAGTAAGTCAAGTAGGAGGAGATTGCCCATTCTTCTGCCATGAAGCAAACTGTGGATTCAAACTGTGTGCCTTTGGGATTGCAGTGCAGCTTCTTACCACTAGGTTATCAGAGCTCCCTTACAAGTATGTTGCTAGACCCTATTCAGTCAAGTAGGACTCCTAGCAACCCTATGAACAACAGATCTGAATCCTGTCTCATCCTGTGCCGGTCTCAGACATACTTAAGCCCATTGCTGCAGTCACTGTGTCAATCCACCTGGTTGAGGGTCTTCACCGTCTCCTCACTTTGTCAAGCATGATATCCTTCTCCAAGCAACACGCCCAAAGTAAGACAAAGCTTGCCATCCTTGCCTCCAAGAAGCACTCTGGCTGCGCTTTCTCCAAGACGTACATGTTTGTTCTTTCAGCATTCTATGGGATAGTCAGCACTCTTCTCTAACACAACTCCAAGGCTCAGTCTTTATTATCCTTATTGTCCAGCTCTCAGCAGCATAACAAATTATTAAAAGACCATGGTCTGAAGCACTTTAGTCCTAGAATTGACCTTACAAAATATAGAAATTATTCTTTTTCCTAGAGAAAGGCAAGAGCAATGTAAAGTGCAGGCTGTCAGGGAAAGCTGCTGTCAACCTGGGTCCCACTCACTGGCTGCTGTGTTCTGGGCTTAAGTGCACTGGTAGCATTAAGCAGATGAAGTCACAAATCCAGAAGAGCCCTCTCCCTTGCCTTCAGGGAGCACATTAGGAACAAGCCTACGTTTCGGCTCTGCCAACTCTGGGCAGGCAGCGGTCAGGACTGGCCAGCTCGGACCTGACACAGCCCTTGGCCGAATGATGCTGCCTACAAGCCCTTCAAGCGGACGCCTGCCCGGAGCCGCCCCGCCCCCGCCGAGCTTTCCAGCTTTCGATTCCGCTCCGAGTCCCGCCCTGCAGCGCGGAGCCCGTGGCCGGGGGCTGGATGGCGTCCGCGGCTGCGACGAGCTGGACCCCCGGGGGGCCAGGGGCCGCGGAGGCCGAGGAGGCACGCGGCTGGCGCTGCCCGGAGCATGGCGAGCGCGTGGCCGAGCTCTTCTGTCGCCGCTGCCACCGCTGCGTGTGCGCGCTGTGCCCGGTGTTGGGCGCGCACCGCGGCCACCCGGTGCGCCTGGCGCTGGAAGAGGCGGTGCATGTGCAGGTGGGGCTGGGGGCGGCGCGAGGGGGGCAGTGGGGCTTAACGGACTGAGAGGGGACATGCTGGGGACGCTGGAGGTACCCAGAGACAATCATCAGCCTTTTCAAAAGGGGATACTGATGCCCAGGGAAGGGCAAAGGCCCTCAGTGAAAGCGTAGAAGAAGAGATGAGGCTGGGAGTCAGAATTTAGTACTCCAGGCTGCAAACCCTCAGACTTTTTTCTCCTATAACCCTGACTTCGGGTTGGAAGAAAATCAGCCTCTTATCAAAAATTAACCACTCCCACTTCCCCAAGAAAACAGCTGCTTCTCTCTAGATACCTCTTCTGGTGGTTTTTCTATCTGGGGTTTGCGGAAAGGCCATGGACTGCCTGGTTTCAGGAAGGAACCCCAATATCCCTTCTCCTACCTTGTCTCTGCCTCCCTCTCTTGTACACACAGTTCCACTCCACAGTGGTAAACCTTGCCCGGAGTTAGAGGGCCTAGGCTGTAGGGAGTTGTGCAGCTAATCCAGATTCCCTGTCTTTCTGGTGGTTCGAATCTGCCATCAGCTCTTGAGAAAGAGGCGGGAGTCGCCTCCTGGGCGGTTTACAACCTCAGAAACCCAGTGGAGGGTCAACGATGCGATGCATTGGTTCCTGCTCTGTGGCAGTGAGTGAGTGAATAATATTACAGCCTTTTTATGGATGAGAAAACTAAGGCTGAGGGGTAGAGGCAAGCCTTGAATTCAGGCCTTGGCACACTGTCTGCTCGCACAGAGCCCATGCTGTCCTGGGGTCCCCACCCGAGTGTGATTCTAGGCGGCTGTGAGCTGCTCCTCCAGTCCTGCCTTATTTTCTGATTCTGTTCAGCCACCTTCCTTTCACTTTCCTTTTCTCTCTCAGCTTTCAGCTCTCTTTGTCTTTCAGCGTTAAGCCGGGCCCTCAGATTTCTGGCAGAAGCTGATTCTACCTTCCAGAAGTTTTCTGTGTCCCTGCGTGGTAAAGGATCCCAGGTCCCCACCCTGTAACAATCTTAGGTGAAATGAGCCCAGTGGTGGGAGGTCAGGCTTGCAGAGGCTTAGATTTGAGACCTGCCTTTCAAAAAAACCCTCACACTCATTGCTGTCTAGTTAAAACTGACTTGTAGCTGACCCTCCAGCGGTTTTTCAGAGGCAGTTAATTGCTCTGGAGGGGATTACCCATTTTTCCCCCCATGGAGCAACTGGTGGATTCAAACCATGTGCCTTCAGGATCTCAGGGCAGCTTCTTAACACTAGAGTTTTCCATAAAGGTATTAAGGACCCCTAGACAGCAACTGAAAGCTCAGTGGTTTGAATCCACCCACTTTTAGTTCCCACCACGGGGGAACAATGAGGCGATCTCCCCTTGGAAAGACTTGCAGCCTCAGAACCCTGATGACAGTGGATTTTGGCTAAGCTTGTTAGCAAGGCTGTTTTCCAGAGATCCAGCTTACCTACTTGGCTGTCCACCTGCCCATGGGTACCCATTTTAATCTGTCTACCCACCCACTCATCGCTTTGCCCATCACTCATTTCTTCAGCAGTGGTCTATTCAGCACATAACGTTGTTCAAAACCTGTTTCCACAAAAGTAAAAGATTGATAAATCTTTTCCTGAACATGGAGAGCCTTCTGTCTGGAATGGCTGGGGAACGTGACTAGGCCTTGAGCGATGGACAGGGGTTAGACTTGAAGACCTAGGAAGCCCACAGGGGTAAAGATGTGCTCCTGAAATAGAAACCAGGACTTATTATACTTGAGGTATGATCATTCCCTTTCTACCCATTTACCCAGAAAAAAACCGTACAGTAGATCCCAAAGCAACTGTTACTTGCATATAAAAACAAGAACTTCATGTCTTGATTATACTGTGTGCCAGGCACTGATCCAAGTGTGTGTATACAGCTTCTCATTTAGACCCTCTGGCGACCCTGTGGGGTCATCCATGTTTACAGCTGGGAAAACCAAAGTTCAGAAAGGTGAGAGCGTTGGTCTCGGTCAAACAGGAGAGTGAGGACTTAGACCTCATTCTCTCACAATGGAGGGCTTCATCTCTTACCAGCTAGCCAGGCGATTTCCCAGCTCTCTGCTTGAAACTGGCAGCCTATAATCATTCAGTTCAGTAAACACTAGATCCCCCTTACACTCTATGGAGGTATTCAGGAAGGGAACAGACTTAGGAAGCTTCCAGAAGACAGGGGTAGCCAGACCTAGGTCCAGGGTGGAGTGCAAGACCCCCTATCATGAAGACGGGGTAAGATGCCAATGAGGCCACAGAGCTGACTCTGTGAAAATGGCATTTTTTTCCCCAAACATATTAGTTTGGTTTATGGTTTTTTTCCTTTTTTTAATTATTATGAAATTTTATTAGTTTTAATGAACATTTACAGAGATTTTGGGTTTTCATTCATTCATTGTTGCACTGTTTTCTCTACCCTCCTCCCCAGTTCGTTCTTCTTCCCCCCAGCTCCGAATGTCTGTTTTAATTGTCCAATTGCCACAGTGCTTGTCAAAGCCAGTTCTGATTAATCTCCTTTGTCAGTGTGTCCTTTGCCATTCCCTGTCACTCCTCCCTGAGAGAGACTTCACCGTAATTCATAAGGGGATAGTGTATTCTCTTAGCTACTTCCTGCTGAAAAGGGACGCTGTGGGTTTCAGGGTGAAGATCTTCTCTCACTACTCTAAAGGGCCCCTTTGGCAGTAGGAAACACGTAGACTATTATGGAGATTGATTTTGGAATTTAGATGCACTGTTATTAGTTTTGCTTAGCCGTACATGTTCATATCCTTGAAGATGTATCATGGAAGTGTTGCAGCCTAGAAGACACAAATTTAACTAACAAGTTAAAAGTATATGAGTCAAAAATTAAAAAGCAATAATATTCTGAGTAGAGGTTCTAGTAGTGGCACAAATCAAGTTACAGAGGGAAGGTAGTTCTTACAATAAAAGGCCTATAGACTAGCACTTTGTCTATTATAGTGTAGAGGTTAGAAACCACAAGATGTAGAGGCTCAGCTATGTCATTTATGGTTTTATTAAGTCCTGGAGCAAATTCCATCTACCACGGGGTTGTTTTACAACTCAGAAGTTTGCATGCAAGGTAGAGGTGAAGTAAGGAACTGCTTATGAGGTTTTCCATCCATTCCAATAACTAAGAAATAGTGAGAAGAGTTGGGACCTCAGAAGGCTTTTAGGACCAATTAGTAGGCTCTGTGTCCAGGAGAAAACTAATATACTTACCAGTAATGTTAATGCTCACCCACAGCTCTTCTGGGAGGATCTAAATCATTGAAGCGTCCTCCTTTGTTTCCAGCTGGGAGCTGGGACCTGTCAGTCCTGTCTGGAAAGATTTCATCTTTGGAAGCTCTCTAGACCTTTTCTACTTTTCTGCCCCATATGATCACTAAGTATGGAATTGATTTGGCATCAATGGATTTGGGTTGGTTTTGGTTAATAAGGATACAAATAGAAGTATATATTCACTGTGTCATCTGCTCATAAGCACATACCTAAATATATTTTTAGTTACATATAGCAGTGATTTGGGTATTGTTTTCTTTCAGAAACAAACGTATATATAAAAACAATTTTAAAAAACCCAAAATATACCACCCAGCAACAACAAAAACCAGACATCCTGAGGGGGCCCTTTCAAGTTGGAGGGTGAGGGTAATATGACCTCCCCAAAGCTCTCACATCCATGCCCTGTGGTCCACGGCCAGAGGTCCGCTCCACAGAAGGAGAGTTTCTCCAGGACAGCTTATAGAAGGGCCGCTGTGTAAGTGCTCACTTACTGCTCCATAAGTGAATGTTTTTTTCCCCAGCTCCCAACCCACTTGCCTTAAGGTCCTGTTTGAGGAACTAGAAAAGCAGATCACAAGTGTCATTTGTCCTAAGGAGAAAGAAAAAGAAACGGGGTACATCAACATTTAAGGAATTCCTGATGTGAGTCTCTAAGAAATCAGGGTGCCCAGATCATTCCCCCAATTTGCCACATAATTTGGGGCAAGTCGCCGTATCACAGCCACTTCAGCAGGGAAAAAAAGCACAGGGAGAGAGGCTGTGATCATTGAGAAACCCTGTTTCCTCATCATGACAATAGTACACCTTTTGTTTCTTCACTCATGCACAGAGCCTCACCCAAGACTGTCTACAGCAATTGGCAGTAAAGAAGCAACAAGAAATTGATAATATAGCCCAGATAGAAGATGCTGCTGAGAAGCTCAAGGTAAGGAGACACCTCCTTCTCTCCTAGTTGAGATGCCCATGTTGCCCTTCAGACACCAGCTTCTCTCCAGCAGGGAGCCAAGGGAAGATACAAACCTACTTCAAAAGGCAAGCTAGATTTTGTGGGGACTGGACCTTATCTTAGGGGCTCTGGGGGTGTCATAGTGGATAAGCACTGGTCTGCTAACTGAAAGGAGAGCAGTTTGAACCCACCAGCTGCTCTGTGGAGAAAAAATTGTTTCTATAGGATTCACAACCTTGGAAACTCTGTGGTGTTTTGTGTTGTCAAATTGGAATGGACTCATAGCTGACCCTCCAGTGGGTCTTCAGAGGCTGTGAAATGTGCAGCAAGAGCTTGTCCGTTGTTCTGCTTAGGAGAAGCTGGTAAATTTGAACCATCTGCCTTTGGGCTGGTAGTGTAACTTTTACCCACTAGGTCACCAAAGGTCCCAACTGGAAACTCTAAAGGACAGTTCTGTTCTGTCTTGTTGTTAAGTGCTGTTGAGTTGCCTATGACTCAGAGACTCTGCGAAGAGTGGATCTGAGCCCTGCCCTATTCTGTGCCTTCCTGACCATATCTCTCATACTTGAGACCACTGTTAGAGTCACTGTGACAATCCCAGAAAAGACTGCCTTTAGACTAGCAGTGCAACTCTCTATGGATGGCAGACTGCTCCACAGAGCCCCCTCGGGTACAACTAGATTTTGTTAATTAGTACTTCCTTCAGGCATCCCCTTTCATAACGATGTTTACTTAAATGGATTCTTTCATGGGTTGGAATGGAAAGTTGTGACTGGTTACTACTGAGTCACCATTTTTAATGGTGGAAAAAGTTGTTACAGCTTTAGGGGCCTTTTGGGGACCCCAGGCTCATGAAATTCCCCTCACAGCCTCAGCTCTCATGAGCTAAGGGCTACATGAGCCCCTGAGTGATCATACGGAACCTGGGTGTCCTTGTGAGGGTAGCTGACACCCAAGACTTGCCAAAAGCTACCTTCCCAGCTGAGTGGAGACCACCAATTACAAAGACCTAAGGCAGAACCAGCCCTCTGCCCAGCATCCACTATCTGTAGAATCTTTGCAGGAGATGGTTCTGGTTTACACCTGTGGCCTTCGATCATTGCACTTGGGGACTTATGACCACAGTCCTGGGAGACAGCTAGGTCATAGTTCACAAAGAAAAAAGTCTATATCCTACTTTGGCAAGTAGTGGTGGTGGGTCTTAAAAGCTTACAAGCAACAGCCAAAGATGTAACTACTAGTCTCTCCTTGTCTAGAGCAAAAAAGAGTGAAGAAAATAAAAAATCTAAGCCAACAGTTCAAAGAGTTAATAGACCGTGCTAGCCACAGACTCCACTAGCCTGAGACCAGAACTCACTGGGGCAGCCACTACTGATCCCTGTGATAGGATCACAGGGACAGAGTGGGAGGGGGAAATGTAAAGCACCAATTAAAAAGTCATAAAAAACACCAGACTTACTGAACCCCCTCAGACTGTGTGTGAGTCTTAGAAACCCTTCAAGTCTGGAGCTGAATTCACCCTTGGGGATCAACTTGCAGCCTAACCACAAACAGTTAATAATGTCACCAGAGAGGAATGTATTTCTCAATACAGCCAACCACACAAGGCCACAAGGTCAATATTTATCAAAATAAACCCCAAAGCTCAGAGGGCAAGAAGGGGCAGGAAAGAAGGTTTGGTGGAAACAGAGCACCCAGGGGCGAGTGGAAAGAGCGGTGAACATTGAGGGAATTGCAGCCGATGCTGTGACATGAAATGTGCATAAGTTGTTCGCTGGAAAACCATTTTGCTTTGTAAACTTTCACTTAAAAATTACTATTTCTCATGTCCTCAATACAGACTAGAGGTTGTGTTTGTTGCTGTTGTGTACCATTAATTGGAACCGACCAATAGATCCAACAGGTTTTCAGAGGTACTTAATTACACAGGAGGAGATTATTCATCTTTCTCCCACAGAGCAGCTGGTGGATTCAAACCACGTGTCTTCAGGATTGCAGCGCAACTTCTTGCCATTAGGCCACCAGAGAGATCCAAGAGAACAAACAAGTCTGTCCTGGAAATGGTAAAACCAAGTTGCTCATTGGAGGCAAGGATTTTGACGCTTCATTTCACATAGTTTGGGCATGTAGCCAGGAGGGACCAGTCCTTGGAGAAGGACAGTATACCTGGAAGGGTGGAGAGACAGTGCAAGAAAGGAAGACCTTGGGTGAGATGGATTGACATGGTAACTGAGGTTATGGGGCTAAGTCTTAGGGAAACAGTGAGATTGGCTCAGGATAGAGCAGGGTTCAGAGCTGTTGTGCAATGGGTCGATATGAGTTACAGGTGACTCAATGGCACATAACAACATATCTTCAAGAACAGACTATGGACTCAAGAAGATAGATCTGTTCCTAAGGATTGACACAGTGAAATTGAGCATGCCCAGAGGGATTCAAAGGGGGGTGTGCTTTGGACTGTTAGCCTGAAGAACAAAGTCAGGGCTCAAGATCACTGTCTGCAGATCTGTAAATGGATACACTTTGGATTTTCCCAAGGAAAAGTTATTACTAGTGTAAACTCCAGGGATGGTTTAGAGACAGGTTTCACTTAATATGTTTTCTTTCTTTTGCTAACAATCCCCCATAACTTTGTTTTTTAACTTTTGAGATAATTACAGATTTGTAGGGAGTTACAAAGATGGTGCAGAGAAGTTATATGTAACCTGCACTAAATTACCACAATGTGTCTTTTCATCTTAGTGTTACATCTTGTTCTTGTTGTTGTTGTTAAGTGCCATTGAGTCTCCTGCAACTCATATAACGATCCTATGTACAGCAGCTCTGAACTCTGCCCTTTCCTGACCCAAACTCATCATCTCCGGCAAACCTAATCCCATTTCTCCAGTCAGCGAGTCAATCCATCTCATCCTGGTCTTCCTTTCCTGCACTGTCCTTCCACCCTCCCAAGCATGATGTTCCTTTCCAAGGACTGGTTCTTCCTGGCCATGTGCCCAAAGTATATAAGATGGAGCTTCAAAATTCTTGCCTCCAGGGAGCAGCCTGGTTTCACCCTCTCCAGGACTGACCTGTTTGTTCTCCTGGCAATCCACGGTATGTTCAACACTCTTCTCCAGCACCACAACTCAAAGGCATCTATTCTATCATTCTTAGTCATTGTCCAGCTCTCTGACACATAGCAAGTAATTGCAGAGACTGTGGCCCGGATCAGACGCACCTTAGCTCTTCATACTCTAGAGAACTCCCCGACAGCAGACTTCCCCAATGCAATTTGTCTTTTGATTTCCTGACTGCTGGTGCCAAGAGTATTGATTGTGAAACCTTGTGGTTGTTAGATGTATCTTGTTAAATGATATAAAAATCACAAAGTGAACAATGTGTGCATATAGTTATGGTCCCAGGTAGATGGCAAGATGCCTTGCTTCTTGCCTGGGCCAGAGGGGAGAGATTGTCTGAGGCTGGGTCCATGGGTGGAGCAGCCCTTGGTGAATCCATTCCGAGCTGGAATGGGCGGTGTCCAAAGCTCTCTCCTGTGTCAACAGACTGCAATGTACTATGGACTCGTCCACCTCCCCCAGTCCTCTCTCTCGGCCTTGCCCCAGTACCCGCCAGGTGCTCTGACACCCACCTCTCTTTTTGTTATTGGCACCTGAGAATTTCCTTTTTCATTCATTTGATTTTGAGCTTGCTTATATAATTTTAATATTGATTCATTTTATCATCATTTCTCTGTTTTTGAGCCTGGAAAGAGGCCTCTCTGTATTAGCTCTTTTCTTCTTACTGACCCAAACAGTATCTCGTTTTGTATGTGGGTCTTTGTCTCATATCACATCAGGGAGCTCCAGTGACTTAGTGATAAGAAGTTGCGCTGTGAGCCCTAAGGTAAGCCGTTCAAATTCACCAGCTTCTCCAAAGGAGAGAGGTGGCTACTCCCCTCACATGCAGTTTACAGCCTCTGAAAGCCCCCTGGAGGATTAGTTATGGACTGGTTCCAACCCAGTGGTACACAGCAGCAACAATACCACAACAGGGAAGCTTGCTCTGTGGGAAGTTGTGCAAACCCAAAGGCAGCACTTCTCTGGCAGTTTGAATCCACCAGTGGCTCCTCAGGAGAAAGATGGGCAGTCTCCTCCTGTGTGATTTACAGCTTCCAAAAATCCACTGGAGATGCAGCTATTCCAACACAATAGCAATGAGTTACGTGGTTTTTTTAACATCACAACACTTCCCTACGTCCTGCAGTCAGCTGTAGAGGCGATACATTCTATTTCATGGATCGTGTGCCTGCTAGTCCCTCAGCCGTTTGCCTAACGCTGCCCAACTCAGCCATTCACAGGTTTTCACTAATGTGAAATAGCGTCACAGTGACCATTTCAGCACTTTGATTTCTTTCCTTCGGGACACGTCCCTAGAAGTGATACATCTGGACATCTGGCTAAATAGGCCCAACTGTGGAAGGTCCTGGTACATGTTGCTCAGTCATGGCTAACGTGGTTTGTGGCACTGAGGTATCAAAGTCCAAGGTGGTTTGTGGCAAAAAAGTGCAGCCCTGCATTTGCTTACCCAGACCTAGTGATAGAGAATGGGCCATCTGTCCAGAAATTGAGCCATAAAACAATAAAGTTTGAATATGGCCCAAAGTCTCTTGTTCCCAGCTGATGGCGAGACCTAACCAACCACTTGAATATAGAGAACAGTCAAGAAAGGCTCTAGGACACGGCTTCTACCATACCCGTGACATTCTTTTCTCTGACATCCTCATTAACAAGCTGAGTCTCTCCTCATTCCCACCTCCAGCACCACAGCCTCTCAGGGTCAAAACGCATCAGGATGTAGGGGAAGGTCAACCCTTGCCTGCTAACTAATTTTTCACTCAAACCTTAGATGACAGACTTAAAGAATTTGATGACAAGGGAGCTCTGGTGGCCTAGAGGCAAGAAGCTGCACTCCAATCCCAAAAGCATGCAGTTTGAATCCAC